TGATCTATAATATGGCTAACGGAATCCTTTGAAATAACTGCAATCCATTGGGTTGGTTTGGGGGTGGAGTGAATCAAACAGGGGCATTGCCATGCAACCTAGAGAGGGGCCAGGCATCCACAAGAAAAACGAAAAAAAAAAAAACTCAATCTGAGTGTCCACCCAAATGTCAACGCTTATTACTTTAAGATTGGACTCCACTAGAGTGACTGGCCACATTGTCCGGCAACACACCGGGCTTGTCTAAAGCGTTAATAAAAGAACCACAAGTATGGTTTATAATCAAACCGAGTTACACTGGTTTAGTTCATTTTAAACTAGATTCGTTTTTTAAACAATTTTTTAAACTCATTTATATATAAAACGATTAAGCTATTCGAATTCGGCTCGTTCCAGGCTCAACTTCATTTCTAAACAAACCAAGTTTGAACAACTTTTTAAACTCGCTTAAAAAAACAAAATCAACAAAATCGACTACATTATCAGCCCTAACCACAAGTTAGGGCAAGACTACCCCCACAGTGATTTTATTTTATCACGTTGTTGCATTATCCCAGTAGATTATCTTTAAACCTCAAGAAAGTATACCAGCTCATGCTTTCCACCAAACACCCCCACCAAAATAAAAGACCAAAAGTGGGTCCTCAAGCGAAAAAAACCTCTCCTTATATGAAGAAGAACACTCGCATACATATAATTACAACCTGAATCAGATAAGCTGGACCAAAAGAACAGAGTCAAAACTTGAATATACAGAAACCAAGCTTTACATTTTACATTCCCGCACTACAATTTCTCCGACATACACTGTTTTCTAGAGCCAATATCTACATGATGGACGAACTGCACAATCAAAGATCTCACAAAAAAAGAAAATAGTACTTACAAACCAGCAAACCGAAGGATTCTGTTACCATTTGGTAGCCAATGAAGCTCAGAGACTATTTTTCTATGTCCTGAAATTTTATCTAACGGGAATCAGTGTTGGTTACGAATTTACAACAAATAAGAAAATGAACTTCCGAAGAAGCTATGCCTACCCCAATTGAGCAGCATTCTCAGATTGATTGTCCTGGATGGCTTTATTTTCACCATCGCAAGCTTCCTTCTCCAAGTCGATGTCAAAGGATGAAAGCAACCTCCTCTGCACCAACATATCAGGTATCAGACATTATGGAACTGATAAGACGAATCCATCAATTTGTACTCCAACCCATATATATTTGCTACTATAGCAAGCAATGTCATTTGGATGCTTGATCAATCCAACTATTTGAATTTTATCTCATGAAGAACTATACGAGATATTGACCTAAACTGCTGATGGACTTGAAATGCCAAGAGCAGCTTTTCTTATTCAAATTATGTCAAATGGTTCTTGCTGTTTGATCACCACATCAATTACATTGGTGTCATAGAATTCAAGAATTTTTATGCACAAACAAAATACAATAAGCACTTACATGATCCTCAAAATCTGGGCTGGTCAAATTGATGGAGAGGTTTCTTATTAACAATAACACCTGAATAAGAGCCAGAAAGAATGAAATAACTACAACATAGGTCCTGAAGCATAAATTGATGGCATATCTTCCAACTTAGAAGATGAGGGACTAAAATTATTCTTACTACTCTGTATGTGTATGTGTGTGTGTGTGTG